TGTATGTGTGTGTGTGTGTGTGTACACACACACGCAGCAAAAGGATTCGGCCAATTTGAAGCTCTGTAGCACATCCCCAGAAAAGGTGAATATAATAGTGGTGGCCTTTCATTCACTGAGCAGCAATAACCTTTATGGCCAAAGTAATGAACTGGTTGAGTCCATCTCTTTATTGCGTCTTTGTATTCAGTGGGGCCTCTGCTTTAATCAAAGCCTATTTACCCTGAGTCACTCATCCTCTTATCTCCCTGTATAACCCCTTTTCTTCCCTCTTCCTTTTTTTCTGGCGGTATCCTCTTTTAGCTTCTTTGTGCGGCCGTTACCTTGTCAAAAATTTCGCTCTTTCCATCCACTGCGTTGTGAAAAGGGTTGCCTTGGAAACTCAGCAGCAACGGAATGTGGAACCCCCCTCCACATCATCTTTCGTTTTTCCCTGCCTCTTCTTCAACCCTTCTTCAGTGCCCTCTGCGTTTGAGGATGCTGTTAAAATCTCCTCCTGGTATGCAGCGACAACATGTCCAACAAAGATGCCAGATATCCCCGTTTCTGCTCATGTGCCCAACCCCACCCCAGATCCCTGCAAGATGGAGCCACAGAAATTGGTTTTCACTTTTCATCCTCTCCATCTTCCATCTTTGTTTGGATTTCGCTCTCCTAGCAGATGATGGGGGGGGGGGAACTAATCAGTTTGCTTTTCTCTCGGTCAGAAGCGTGCGCTGCTCCACTGGCCTACACACCCTCAGTGTAGCCTTTCCAGGGAAAAAATGGATGACGTTAGAGGGCCCTGAGTGGCTTTAAAAAACACATATTTGTACAATCCAAATCTTCAACTTTTGCACCGCATTAATATGCTAATTGTACGCCGAGCAAATAATAGCTGATAAAAAACAGACTTTACCCACAGGTGGCCGTCCCCACCACTGCTAAGCCAGCAGCGTCTCCTCCCAAGAGGAGGAGGGGACAGCGAAACGTACTGGAGTGTAACACAAAGTTTCTGGCAGTGGCATGAAGTTTCCCAGCAGGTTACAGCTGGCTACATGTCTGCCGGAGAGGAAGGCGCATCACACAGAGTGACGACAAGCCCGATCAGCCATTTCAGATCTGTTAGCCAGAGAAATCGCACGAGGAAAGGAAAGGCATAAAGGCATAGGGACAAAGAGAGAATGCAATTGCTTTAAACTACAGCAGTGTGTGATTTGGGCTCATGAAACCATGGCTGGATGGCCTGAAAGATATTTGCCTCTGGAGGGGCCTCTGTCAGCATTATGTGTGTGTGTGTGTGTATGCCTCTACCTTTGTGTCACGTCTGATAAATAATTTAGAGGTTATTCAAAAGACTGATTTTATTTCATTTCTTTACCCCTATATGCTCTGGTTTTTCTTTGTGGCGCTCAGAGACTTGGTGCTCAGGCACAAAATAATCCTTGGTACATACCCTGACCTTTAAAGAGCCTACTGCTGAATTCTGCCTGTTGCTTCAGCTCCTTCACCTATTTGCATGTCCCTCTGTTCCAGGCGGGGCAGCAAGGAGATAGTGTGTGTGACCCCGGCTGGACAGGCCCCCGGCCCCACACCAGTCATGGTGGACATCAACGCCGCTGAGCTGAGGAACCCAGAGGTCAAGTTCAACTACACAGACGATCCCACCATCCTCAAGATTGAGCCGGATTGGAGTATCGCCAGGTATGTAAGACCAGGTTCAGTACAGGTCAGCCAGTAGTCCAGATGAATGCTTTTGTTCTGTGGTATTAAGTGTTGACCACCACATGGTTTTCAGGGGAAACTATGTTGTCTTAAACATATTATTTAGTCTGTTTTTCATAGATTATATATCTGACAGCATCAGACACATTTGCTTAGAAAATCCATATGTCATAGGATTATTTAACTATCTATAATTTACATCTGCACAGTGTTTGATCTGCAATTCTGCTTGATGTGCTGCACATCTGCACAACAGATACAAATGCATTAATACATTATTAATCCTTAGTGTTGGGTTACCCGTAGTGAAAGCTTTTTTTTTTTTCCTAGGTACTTTTACAGTTTAACTAAGACATGAACTCGGTGTAGAAGGCCCTGTATTCTTCTGCCAGCACGCTCCCTTTCTGAGTCTGGAATGAAAAACAAGGTTTTGGCCCTCCTTTGTCACACTCATCTCGCTATTCAAAGGCGTATTATTTATTCAGTTTATCGTAATGTTTAAAAAGTAAGCCGTGGAGAGCAGGAGCAGCAGTGAAGGGTTCTCCTGAAGCGGAGCGCTGCTGGTTGATGAGCTGCAGCAGAGATGTGTCTGTAAATATTACTTGACTTATTGAATTGAGACTACATAGCCATGGGATGATTTCCTGTGTAAACACAAGCTGTGTTGTGGAGGGGGGGAAAAAAAAGAAAGCAAAGTTTGGATTTTCCAAATGCTAATAGGCTCACTAACATGACCTAGAAACTCCACGACACTCCACGGCTGAAATGACACCAGCACGTATACAAACATACGCGCTCTCATTTACCTCAAAAGTAGCGAATGGTTCCAGGAAGGTTTTATGTTTCTTTCTCCTTGTTCTAGCTGCATGTCATAGTCAAAACAGTTGCCTCAAGACATTCATATGTATATATATTGCTGCTGATCCAAACTTGCTCTCTTTTTAAGAAACTTCACTTCTCGCAGACATTTTGTAGTCAAAGTTTTTCGTAACCCTGCTGACATTTGCCTCAAAATTAAGTATCTGTGTTATAAAATATATGGCAGGAATGGATGTTGGGTGCTCCATGTCCTTAAAAGGACATGGTAAGATTTTTGCACCTGACACATTGTTCAGACGGTGTAACAATCCTCCTATGCATCTTCGTAGGGGGTTGAGGTGAAAATAGGACCCCCATTTAAAACTCTGCGGGGAGCACAAACTCCCTCTCATCATTAGAACAAACTGTGAAAGGATGAGAAATCTCTGGGTTTGGAGTGAATGAAAAGCTGAGGGGTCAGAGAAAGGAAAGGAGAATGAAAGAGCAAGTTTTCAGCCCTGAGGGGAAATAACCCCAGCGTTCGGCTTGTGTTGGTTTTTTCACTTGGCTCTCCCAGAGGAGGGGGTGCGTGGTTCTCCCGGCCAATCATCCTTTTTTTATTTACCAAGCTATTTTGTCACTGTGTCCCCTTTCCTGACCCAGTTGCCATGCCTGCCTCACATAGCACAGACTTTCCTTTATCAGAAACATAAATATGGCATGACTGAGACTTGTTCTCCTCCCTTCAGGAAGAAACGTGCATGCACATAGTACCTCAAGTAGGAGCTTTGTGTATAGGAAAGATTTTTACATGTATACCTCAGTGGTGTTGCCTGTCAAGTGATTCTGTGTTTGTGTTTACCCTACATTTAACCACCTTTGGGTTCTTCTCCATTAACAAATCTAAATGTTCTAAATTCCTTTAAATTTTCACATCAGATTCTATTTAGCTGGCTCCTGTAAGGCTCAGAAAGCCCTAAGTGTGTACTTCCCTCAGGCGGCTTTCTCGTCCTGTTGACTCTTCAGTGCCAAATTCATTTAGATTGGCATCACCTTTATACCGTCCAAGTCCTTTGTTAGGCTTCAGCAAAGTGCGTCCAACAATGAGGAGTTGCTTGTGCATGTATAATTCTATTACATATAACGGATATCTAGCCGGGAATACCAAGTCTTTTGGTTCTATTCCACAGGAGGATAAAGCAGCCATGCCACTGACATGACAAAATCGTTTTTGGGGGTTTACAACATGCAAACAAGTGACTGATAGCATTTCTTTTTGTGTTGAGCTGCTTCAACCTCATCTTGGTTTAAGCAATTCAACAGCTCTGCTCTTTCATCATATTTTCATGCCAGTGTTGACTCTCAGTAGCTGGATTTAGATAACTAACTTATTTAGCTGCTGTCAGGATGGCTCACATCAGATAAAGTTCAGCCTCGTGGGCCAACAGAGGTTGTCAAGAAGGCAGTTTCAGGGAAACAGGCCACTCACCCACATTACCCATGCCCCTCCTGGTCTGTCACGTAAACCTGAAAAGGTCAGAGATGTAAAGTTTTCGCATCATTACAGAGACCAGTTCAATATTATGTGTGTTGTTTTGTTTTAGTTTGTTTTGTTAACGTTAAAAAAAGTAATTTTGCATCGGCAGCTTTACTGCATATCCAGTCTGACTGTCATTATTGGGAAAGGACTTCAATGAAAAGAAGAAGTGAATATACTGTAGATGATGGATCGCCATCTAAAGGACCTGTTTGGCTCCCACAGGGAACAACTTTATCAACCTTTATTTCTATTGATAAACCTGATTTATCCTGCAAGAAAAGAGCTGAGGATGATGATAATGTAACACAGAAGTGGACTGCTGAGTGTTCTGGTTTACTTAGTCCTGTTGCGTAGTTATGTTTTTCATTCTTATCTTCTGATGTTTTCTTATCTTTTGTTTTAGTGGAGGAACATTATTGACCATTACTGGAACCAACCTGGCCACCATCAAGGAGCCCAAAATGAGAGCCAAGTATGGAGCTGCACAATCCGAAAATGTAAGCTACTGGACTCACAAAACAAACAAAAAGAGCCTGCGTCTTGTCGAGATAAAGTAAATGGATAGAAGTCGATAGCTGCAGGTGTCTTTCACTCCCTTTCTTTGATTAAACTAACTTTCAGGTGATCCACACATTTTTTGCACAAAAAACGCACACATGTGACCTGTTGGTCAACCTGCCACAGGCCCATTTTCTGTTTGTTTTTGATGTTGAATTTCCTTTTAGCAGTTTAACCTTTGAAATGTCAACTAGCAATAAAGCAGCCCTTGCAAATCCCCCACTCTTCACCCAGCACCACGGGGCTTAGCTAACCTTTCTCCCTCTCCCACTCTAGACTGAGAATAAAAATATCCCACCTCTTTCTTTTGTCCCACCAAATGACCACAGAGAGGCAAATCTGTTGACCCATGATCAACTTTTGTTGAATGTGTTTGGGATCCTTTATACACACTTTACGCCTCAGTGTGTGACTTGTGCAGCACGGGGTATGGCCGTAACATTTTGTGAAATTATGCAAAGGTCTCCTCTGCCAAACTCTGTTATTGTTAACAGCTACTGGCTTACCACTCCAGTTTCTCTTTCTGTCATTACAGTCTAATTTGTTCAGTGTCCAACACCACGGGGAATTACAAGATCATATCAACACTGATGACAGTGCTGATGTTATTAAGCTACCTTCTCCTCATTACGCCATTACAGAGACATTTAATCACTTGAAATATTAGACTTTGTTTCATTCCCTATACAGTGCACACACTGGAAACTCCATATATCTCATCCCAAGATTGTAAATGCTGCCCATAAGATTTGGGAAGTTAAATCGTGGCTTTAAAGATGTCCTTTGACAAATGCACCCCTCCCTCTTTCTCCTCTGTCCCACCCCAGAACTGCACGGTCCTCAACAACACAGTGATGGTGTGTCTGGCGCCCTCTGTGGCCGGATCTGAAAAAGGGTTCTCGGAGTCGGGCAGCAGTCCTGACGAGATCGGCTTCGTCATGGACGACGTGCGCTCCGTGCTGGTCGTGAACGAGACTTTCAGCTACCACCCGGACCCCGTGTTTGAATCTCTGAGCCCCACGGGCATGCTGGAGCTGAAGCCCAGCTCACCGCTCATCCTCAAGGTAAATGGCCCTGTGCTCAAAGCGTTGATGTGTTTCAGCCTTGTCTCGACATGGCTTGGCTTTACACCCATCACATTCTTTCTCTTTTTATTTCATTTTTCTGCACTCCAGTCCTGTGTCTTCTATATCTTTTTAACCTGGTTTTAACCCTATTTACTCATTTCCTCCATCACCTTCTTCGTGAGTCTGTCACCTCCTCTTTCAGCCAGTTCACCCGGAATATGTGTGGGGACATGAGTGTAAGAGTTGGGTTTGTGGTGGTTTAGCATCAAAGCCTCTTTTTTTGAAGGTTACTCTCTGAAGCTGAGGCGTAAATGTCTCCACACACCAGGACTTCAGGACAAAAGAAGGTTAGCTGAGTGTTCGCACTCAGTTGACACATAAAAAAGGACAGTAATAGCAGATGGCAGAATGTCAGTGTTGTTGGTTATTGTCAACAATGTTTAAAGATTAATCTCACAAATGGGTAGCTTGGAAAATGTTACAGCAACCTCTCAGCCAGCATCCAATTCAGCCGATAAGGCACTGACAGGCGTTTGAAATTATTTGCTCTGGACACTTTCCTTCCTCTTTACTCTGGATTTCCTTTCAACACAGCTTGCCTTCAGATGTGCCTCAACCTTGAGAGATGTGTGTTTTTTTTCTCTCCACCTGCTTTCACCAATGGGGTTTAGAGACCCTCAAGAAGATTTTTTATTCAAACATCCCCTTTCGAATCAGGTGCAAAGGAAGTAATGTTTATAAAGTGGGTCCATGTGTTGCTATGCCACCTGCTCAGATTTGTATCTAAAAACCTATAAAGAGAGCCTTCAGAGCCATTTTTTGCTCTAAGCCACACAAGAAGCATGCATTTAAATCCGGAGCGCATTAGCCCCGTGCTGTCTTGTGTCTTATGTCATTTCACCTCTCCCCTTGAACTTCAAAGCCTTTCAGGAGCGAGGGGGGAAATGATCATGCAATTTCATGGAAAACTAAAGTCTTTTTTTTTTCTCTCTCAGCTAATCAGGGTGGGGTTTTAAAAATGAGGGCTGGATATTCTCTCTTCTCCATAATTTCAAATATAATACCATGATGAAAAGCTTTGATTGGCCCACTGTGCTGATAGTAAAGGCTTTCAGAAATAAGCAGCATCCAGACAGCATCCCAGTAAATAACTGTGGAGAAATTTAACTTCCATCAGAATTTTCCAGCAATTGATTCCTCTCCCTCTGCCAATCATTATGATCTGGGATGTAGAGGAAGGTGAAAGGGGAAAAGACTGACTTTTGTTCAGTAATTCACTACCGAGCACAGTTATTGAGCCAATGCCATTTTTGAGTTCTTGGACAGCATCTTTGTAAGTAAAGAACAGCCCATGTAATTAATGATCCATATTTTTGTTTGTTGAAAGTTTATGGCAGGTATTATCTAGCAGCATCAAGAAGATTTACTGTTGCTATGGTAACTAGCATCTTGAGGTACCGTGCATACTGATGGAGATGTGTGGATATGCTATTGATAGGCACCTTTAAGAAAGAAGAATCTAATTTTAGGTCACAGATTTGGCACAAACACTAACTACATATGTTCTCTTTTTAGAACTGAATAATTTTCCTTTACTCTGAACTTTTTGGTTAATAACTTTGGACCTTGTTGAATGGAAATAAATAGAACCGTTTTTGTCTGTTCCCAGGGTCGCAACCTGATTCCAGCCGCTCCTGGAAATGCTAAACTGAACTACACGGTGCTGATTGGAGAGACGCCCTGTGCTCTCACCCTGTCCGAGAGCCAGCTGCTGTGCGAGTGGCCTAACCTGACTGGAGAGCACAAAGTCACAGTAAGAAAAACTTTAATGCCCATGTCATCTTGTATGAGATGTGTCTTTCATGCCTGAGTACAGCATTGTGATACATGCGTACAAAACTTAAATATGAGCAGCTCCCTGATACCACATCAGTCTTAACCAGATTCTTGTTCCAGTGGTGGAGCGTCAGTATTTCACATATCTTTCAGCCTTTTGTCTGCTGTTTGCACCGTTCTTTTCATACACCCTCTGAATTGTAAACCCATTTCCTGCCTTTTCATTCACTCTTCTTATTCTGTCCTCCCTATCCATCAGACCCAAATCTCTTCAGTTACTCTAGATCTTTCCCCTATTCATAAAGCTCCAAGCCTATGAACGCTCACATTCCGTTTCTAATACTACTGGCACTGCTCGTGACTGTATTTATGTCTTAGAGGCTTTTGATCAGTCTGGTCTGGTTGGCATTCTCTCTGGGATTTGAACAGTGTTGGTGTTCAATAGGGAGCAAAAAATGCCTTTTGGGCATGGGAGGTCTGTTTCTATTTTTACCTCGCTCCAATTGGTATTTCAGTGATGTAAGCGAGTTAAAGAGGGTATGGCATGGGAACGAAGGGGAGTTTAAATGCATTCCTTTTTGTAATCAGACATTTTACAAAAAAAGGACTGTTTTAATGTGATTTTTTTTGTTTTTTATGGTTAAAAATAAATAGCTTTGAGGCACATATATCGCCTCCCTCAACTCCCCAAAAAAAAAAAATCTTAAGGGGAGTTTCAGTATGTATCTATTATAAATGTTACTTTCATTATAGATCTTTACATGTTTGTCATACTCTGCTGGGTGAGAAAACAAGGGCCGCTTATTTGTTTCATCAAAATCATTTTTTTCTTAAACAAGGTTCGTGTTGGAGGCTTTGAATACTCACCGGGGACCCTGCAGATCTACTCCGACAGCCTGCTCACCCTGCCTGCCATCATTGGTATTGGGGGAGGCGGTGGTCTGCTCCTGCTAGTCATCATTGGGGTTTTGATTGCTTATAAAAGGAAGTCACGGGATGCCGACCGTACCCTCAAACGACTCCAACTGCAGATGGACAACCTGGAGTCCAGAGTGGCCCTCGAGTGCAAGGAGGGTGAGTTGTTGATTCTACTGAATTTTCTCCTCACAGTAGCTGCTCATATCTATTAAAACACTCTCATACCTTTGCTGCTTTTCTTCTGCTTTCTTCTCTTCCTTGTCCTTTTTCATCAATGAGCTGTTTTCTGTGTATCAGCCCCCCCTCAGCCTTCCTCCACAGTAGCTGTATAACTCTCACTTAATGGTCCTATCCATTTCTCTCTCTCAGCTTTTCTCTGTCCCACTCTCTATATCCCCTTCCTACTCAATGCCAGCATCCCCCTGCTGTTATGAGGCAGCGTGCAGTGTGTACATGTCTATGCGGGTGTTGGTGTGTTTCCAGAGGAGTACTTTGATCTGAGCCAGCCACCAGATGTTGGCTCTCCACCTCACCAGAGAGCAGCCTGGCTGGTCTCACTGCCTCCGACACTGAGAGGGGGGGGAGTGGATGGAGGTTAGATAGAGAAAGGCCACAGAGGTGGGAAAGTGAGGGGATGTAAGGAGGGAGTGGTTTGGCAACAGCTGAAATGGGGGAGATGGAGGAAAACTTACACACCAGGGCATTAGCATATATTCATCTGGCAGGAGACGGAGTGCATCCAGAGAGTCGACTGTTGATGCCACTGGTTTGCTGGCAGAGGAATGAAAAAAGCAGATGGAGCGAAGGGGAAGGAGAATACTGATAACATGATCATCACAACACTTTTGAATGAGAGATCACTTCAGCTGTTGCGCAGTTTAAAAGAGGCTTAAGTAAAGCTGCGTTATGAATATACATTGTAATCTGAACTAATAGCAGCTACTAGTTCAGATTAAATGTTTTTGGTGGATGTGAAGACCCATGAAAAATCGATCAAAGTTAGGGGTCCTCTAACAAGAAAGTATTGCATTTAAATGGAACCAAAAGTTCCATTGAATTCCAGCCAGACCTCGGGTACCTGGCCACTTTCAGATAGACTTGATGGTCTCATTGTGGTAAATTGCTTAAACCAGATGAAAAACAATGGTGCAAATAGAGATATGATGGGATATCAATCTCATCTCAATGCAGATTTTGTTTTTAAATAGTTGCAGAAACTCTTTTAAAAAGAAAAACGGCTGACAAAAATGGATCACTATAGCCATGATGTGACATCAAGGAGGTATTGCTTCGTATTATAATAATTAGCATCCAGCCTTTGGGTGGGCGTTAAAATACACTCCAACTTTTAAACAATTTCAAAACAAAGCCGATGAAAGCATCAATATGTTTGTTTCTTCCTGGGTACTTTTCTCCACTCTACCTCTTGTATTTGTCGTTTCCTGCCTTCTTTACAACAACCTGCAAAAACACACAAATACACTCAGGGAGCGGGTCACATTATGATTGGCTTGGGACTATGCCACTGGGTCATTAAGCCCTGACCCTGTCTCTCCCCTCTCTGTCACAACTGCCTGGAAGATGGCACGAGGATGGATATGAAGGAGGACAGAGTGAGTGTGAGGACAACATATCAAACAACTTGGAAAGAGATGGATAGGATTACCTGAAATTAGTATAATTGAAGAAGTGTTGAAGAGCAACTTGGAAATTAAGAGTTGGAGATAAGACAACAGTAACAAGGGAAAAATACAACTTGTGGGATAAAGGTGGCGTGAATGGTTGGAGTAAAGTTATAAAGCTGCAGACTTTTAGAGACCTCAGCTTTAAAGAGATCACAGAAAAGACAATGAGCAAGAGAGCAGACCGAGAGGGAGCTGGAGGACAGAAGGGAACTAAAGGGACAAATGAAAGAAAGATGGAGTGTTGCAACAGAGAAGAGACAGCCATAAGGGAGAGAGGTGACTTCTAAGATGTCACTTTGAAAGGGTGAGAGAGAGACAAAAAGAGAGATGGGGGGAAAAGAACAGGATGACACGAGCCATCTGTTGGTCTGGGCTTTGGTTGGTTGTTTGTTTGGATTGTGAATCTATGCGTTGGCATATTTTGGATCAGGCACATACACATGTTCACAGTTGTGCTAATAGAATTATTAAGCTGTACATTTTCTGCTCCAGGGGCTTTCTATTTATACAAAAACATCCAAGGCACTTCCACGAAAGTATTAACTTTCGACATTATTATATCGGAATATGTTTTTGAGAACTGATTTTAGCCTGTTTTCCCTGTGAATGTGACTTATGAATCTATTTGAGTTTACAGAATGGGGTCAGAACACATACTTTGTGAGAACCGAGCATGTGTACAAACACTGACACATGCATTCCCATAAATCAAGCGGGCAGGGGGATGTGTGTTCAGCTGTGGGGCAGAGCAGGGGATATTGTATTTGTGTGTCGGGGTGGCTGCAGGAGTACATGCATGTGAGGTGTCAGTAGGCAATGTGTGTCCTCAAAGGCTCATGTTCCTCAGTACAATTGCTTCCCGAACCCCCCTCCAGCCTCCTCTAGCATCACAACACTTTTCTGTGTCCTGCTCTTTCATCCCTCTCTTTCCCTGTGCACTGTGGGGGCCTCACCCCTTTAGATTTATTTTGCCACTCTAAAATAGGGCTATGGAATTTGGAATGCTACTGGTATGCTGGAGACAAATTTAAGCTAAGTTATCATAGCTATGTCCGTCTTTGTATTGAGTGGAATGTTTAAGATCATAATGAACACCTTTAAAGTAACAGTTGCCAGCTTTTACACCTTAAGAAAATCCTTTTCACAATTTATCTGTAATGTTTCAAATTTCATTTCTTAAAGATAGCCATTACCCCCATTGAATTAGAAGATCATTTTTGTTTGGAGTATCTTTGGGAAGAATGGGTTATATTCAAATTCAACTGAATTCTCTGAGAATTGATTCTGCTGTCATGAATCCTTTTTCAAACATTTCCCTGTCCTCCACACAGCTTTTGCAGAACTGCAGACAGACATCCACGAACTCACCCAGGAGCTGGATGGAGCAGGGATCCCCTTCCTGGACTACCGCACGTACGCCATGCGGGTCCTCTTTCCCGGGATTGAGGACCATCCTGTACTCAAGGAGATGGAGGTACGGGTCAGTAAAGAGCGCCCCGCATCCACACACACCCACAAACACTAGCAGGTCATGAGTAAATGAAAGATGTACAACTTAACCCTTCTCCACTGCTTCCTTCTAAAGAGGAAACAGTATCATTCACATGACTATTAGCTGTGTGGACACTGGAGCATGGGCCTCCATTATTCCTCTCTGTACTGTACTGTACATTAGAATGTCACACAGGCTTCATGTAGAAAATTCAGTTGTTCTTTTGCTGACCAGCATGTATATAGGAACAGGCCTGTGAGACTCTCTATCTGCTTGTGCTATCAACTGTATTCTAAAGGGATAGTGTAGCGCAACATTGGATTTTCATTTGTATGGGCCAGGCAATCCCAAGTCAAAGTAGTGCGCTAGCAGGCAGATCAATTTCTTATTACGGCACGAAGCTCACATTTTCACTTCAAACCTGTGTTTCTCTCACTCAGAAGGGGAGCTCTACCCATTGCTTTAAGAAAAGAGGAGAGAAAAAGGGGAGGGGGGGATATATGCGATGGGGAAGGGAGAGCCTTGGAATAAAGGCGTGCAAATTTGAGTTTTAAGGGTGTATATGGGAGCTAGACTGGCATTTTTTTCCTCTTTATTTGCTCAGCAGATACATCTGTGATTGTGTGGCTTTGAGTCAAAGTGCCTCTAGTTAATGGAGCCCATTTTAACAGATGCACATTACTTCATCTCTCAACATTAAATCACAATCAATCCCTTCACACCCTGCTCTCAACCCCTTTTGCCATTACCTCCTTTTCTCCCTTCATAATAACCATCTTCTCTTTGTTTTACTCTTGCTTCTTTTTTTTCTTTCTCCCATTTAACTGCTTCATTTCCATCACATCCACCCCTCTTTGCCACCACTCCTCTCTTTTTTTGTCATCCTTACCTTCTCCTCTCTACCTTTCCCTCTCATTGCCTCTTTCCTCTCTCTTCCAGGTGCCTGCGAACGTGGAAAAGGCCTTGACGTTGTTCGGCCAGCTGCTGACCAAAAAGCACTTCCTGCTTACCTTCATTCGCACGCTGGAAGCTCAGCGGTCTTTCTCCATGCGGGACCGGGGCAACGTGGCCTCCCTCATCATGACGGCGCTGCAGGGGGAGATGGAGTACGCCACGGGCGTCCTCAAACAGCTCCTCTCTGACCTCATCGACAAAAACCTAGAGAGCAAGAACCACCCGAAGCTCTTACTCAGGAGGTAAAAAAAGTAGGGAAACTCAAAGGGTGTATTGAGGGGTTAAAATTTGGGGGACAAAACCATGTCACATGCAACGGTGGTTCCCCCACTGGGGGTTGAAGTTTATTCCAGTCATGACTTCTATTCTAATTCTTCTAATTGTAGACTAAATTTAGTTTATTTCCAATTTTCCTTAGGTTTATCGCAAAATTGATAATACACAAACAAACTAACCACATGCTAAAATCAGAAGAAAACAGACAATGATGCGTTCTGAGACTGTCAAACCAGTTAATTTTCCATTCCGGCAGCTGATGCCAAGAGTAGGAAGGCAGGGGACAGTGACTCTGGCTTCTGAGGCGTATGTGACTTTACCTCATCTCCATCCCTCAACCCTGTCCCTGTCAGAGAGGATTACACCCCTGAGCACACATGCTCTCCCACTGGAGCTGCCGTGAGACGGGTCGCTCTCTCCCCCCTCTCATGCACTCACAGACAGGAAGCCAGTGAGGGGGAGGAAGTGCGAAGAATAGACAGAGGAAGGTTCTGGTCAGGAAAAGAGAAAGATGAGCGATGGAGGAGAAAAAACACAAGAGGTGAAAGAGGAAAAAGCAGTAAGAGAAAAGGTGGATGGATCTCCAGGGGAGAAGGGGGGGTGATGATTGACAGAAAAAGAAGGCAAGATGTCTGGAGGGAGACTAGGACTGGAGGGAAATTGATGGGGAAAGACATATGTGGGTAGATGGAGAAGCGGGGGAAAGAATCCGAAAGGCTGTAGGATGGTAGCGCAGTGCAAAATGGTGAGAGAGTAAACAGGCAGAGGAAGAGTAGAGAAGCACAGTGAGCCGCTGCAGACAGACAGACAGGCGGAAAGGATACACATATTTAAGAAAAGACACAATTAGAGAAATGGCCTGTCTCCAAACAAATTAGAATTAGTCATTTAATGATTAAAAAAAAAGTTTTTAAAAAAAAATCTATCTTTTCCAACTCCTCAGAGAGATATTTAATTAAAAATCTAATCAAATAAATGACTCTCAGCCAGTGTGGCCGCGTGAAGCCTTTTCCAATCCCCTCTTGGGGTGTACGGTCATAACATGCCGTCCCTGCTAACTACACTAGCCTCAGGAGCTGCTATTAATAAGCCCAGCAATTGTTAAACATGGTTTAGTCTGTTTAGGCCTTTTTCTCAACACCTTTTTTTTGTAGACATGCTGTAGGACGCCTTAATAGTCATCTCCCTTGATGAGTCCCAGCCCCCCATTATGCTTTTTTCATCAGAAAAAGTGTTCCATAATTATCTTATGAGCTCAGTCCCAGTAGGGCTCATGACCACCTTTCCATGTTGTGAAATCCTGAAGAAATACTTTGTTACGTCCAGACACGGAGTGGCTGAATGATATGTTTCCAGACATGGTGAAAAAGCAGAAATTTATGTGGAATTGTAGAGTACATTTCTGTTTTTTGCCATAAGCCTTCACTACTTTCACTACCCTATTGGCCTAGTTTTCTGTCTTTCTTTTATTTGCCTACTATTCTTGAGGCGTGCTGAAAAAGCATTTCATTTCTGTGCGGGGCAGACAAGAAAACATCCTCTCATGCTGACATTTTTCACCAGAGTTTAGATTACTTGACCTCTACCTGTGCTAATGACTGACAGGTAAATATTTACTGAGAAACCTTGGAATGTGTCCAGCCTAGAAAATCTAATAACATTTGTGTGTATCCCCAATTCATCTTAAGTAAGAGAGGGATATGGAAGCCTTCCTGTGTCTAATATAAAAGAAAGTATGTTTTTTACCTGGCTTGGTTTTCAGACTCTCTTTGCCAGGTATTAAACAAAATAGGTGAAATAAGTCTGATCATTGCAATGCCTTTTATTCACAACATTTTTATTCCATTCACTATTTGTTCCTGTGTCTGCTGAGGTCAGTACACGTTTGGCTCGTTATGCGGCAGGTTTGTGATCAACGATGGAAGTTAGTCTGTTATACTAGTTCCTGATTATTTTTTTCTTTTGCAACACAGGTGAGCGGGTTTGCTTGGGGATAGAATAATATGAGGGAAGGATGAAACAATGGGGAAAGAGCAGAGCTTTGTTTCTTCACGTTAATTTGTTTTTTGGTGGCGGTTTTAGGTGTTTTAAAGTAACCACAAAAAGACAGATGATTCCCTGCATTTATCTCCGATGTGTGAGCGGTACTTAAACACATTTTCTCATCCAGTGATGAAAATGTTGTTTTGTGGTCTGTGCTGTTGCCGTGGGAGTGAGTGTTTCATTCTCATTCTGGAAGCTTTTTCTCTTTTGCCTTTCTCCTAGGACTGAGTCAGTCGCTGAGAAGATGCTCACCAACTGGTTCACCTTTCTGCTTTACAAGTTCCTCAAGGTAAAATTCTTGCACACATACCTGCAACAATACACACAACTTTAAAAAGCAGAAGCAGCACTGCTTTGGGAATCAAATCATGTCTCACTAACATGCACACAGTTTCACAGCTGCAGAATTAGATAAGGCTCAGGCTGCTGAAAACCTATCCCTTTCCACTGCCTTCTTTTTTCTCCAAATTGAGGGATCTGCAGAGTCTGATGCACTGTTCAGACACAGCTGGCTGCGTTTTTGTGATCACTGCGGCCTGCCGTGCTAACCTGTCCTCTCTTTGTGCGGCTGTACACATGCCTGTACGTTTTCATCTCATAGAAACGGCCATTTCTCCTTTTTCTTTCACTCCCTTTCTGTCGGTGTGTTTATCATTCTTCTCCCTCTTTGAATTCCTTCCTCTGATTTCATATCAAAGACAGTCACCAGCACTTAGATGGTGCTAAATTCATGTTTCCTCTAACACACACTCTCTTACGTTTAAACACTGCTGGAGCTTATCACTTTTGCAGTGGGGCTTTAAGCCCCTGTCAGGACGGGCAGACTACTGGACAGTAAACCAGCCAAGCCCCCAGGGAGCCCAGTTAGCATCTGTGTATGTGCCTGTGTCAGTTTTCAGTATCCATGTATGTGTGTCTTGGCTCCGAACAGGAGATTGGACAGCCAGAGCTGGGTTCAGGAAGAGAGGGGTGGGTTAGAGGAGAAGCTGTTGGGGATTTATTCAGCATCTGTGCTTCTGAGCTACAGATGAGTCAAAAACAGCAAAAAAAAAGGTGGAAGAAAGAAGTATTTGATCCCTTTGAAAAAGCAGGTATAGGGAGTTTTTTTTTTAAATAATCCCCTAATGAATATTAATATTCAACGTCCCTTTTTCAACTTCATAAAGCAGCAAAAAAAGAAATGACAAATAATGAAGAGCTCATAAAAAAAGCAAAAACACTAAGGAAAAGGATGGAAATGGGAATGGATTAACTGTGTGTAGCTTTTACCCAGCCTTAGCAACTCAGTGCCTCTCTTTCTCCTGAGTTTTCAGGGGTCACAGCAGAGAAAGGCCTGGAACAATTTCAGGATTCAGTCAGGTGTGAATAGAGATGGGAAAAGGTCAAGTAGTGTTTCAGAGGGATGGAAGAGCTGGAGCTTTTACCTACCAAAAGGAACTTAAGTAAGAGGAAAAATCCTTACATCCATTACCCTCTTATCATGGTTCAGCTGTCCTCCTTTGCTCCAACCAGTTTGGGAGTGTGGTCGACCACCTTTATTTATTTATTTATTTTTTATCTTAAATCTCCACAAGACACAACCTGCTTTTTTAAAATTTTGTTAAAATGAAAAAAACAGATCTGTGTGTCACATTTGACAGTGGCTGCTGTTGTAGTGGAATTATATGGCAAAAGGGAAATAAGTTTTGGGGGGTTTTTTTATTCCGCCAGAAGATCAAATCTACATGTACATTAGAAATGATCCACATGCACACAAACAGCATCAGTACTGAGTTTCCACTCTGGCACTGTTTGAAGGAGACAGAAGGGCTGAGATTTGTATGCTGCTAGACAGAGAGGACGTCTGGCCGTGTGCTGTGTTTTCGCCATAGGAGGCAGGCAGTGCTAGATTATCCCACAGAGTTCATCTGACAGCTCACCGAGATGACTGACTCGTGCTGATGCATGAACATGCCCAGCTGAAGGGCGTCGGGCAGAACTTGTAATATACGTCTTTGCCTGGAGGAATAGAGCTGGTTGTTGATGGACAGTTGGTAAATATGAATCACTGCTTAAGAAGCATTCATTTCACACTAATAATGAGACAAGAAAATGTCCAAATATGTCAGCGCTCTACAAATCAAGCACGTCTTTCAACACATATCTTTTGTTTTGTACAGCTTCAGTCTCATTTTAATGGTTTTGTTTATCTTTTCCTTCTGTAATTACACAGCTTGGAGATAACTGATCCAAACCAGCTATTTTTACCTCTCATATTTAAAATTAAGCTTGCCACAGACTGCCCTTCAGTGGGCTGAAAGAACCAAAGCTATTAATGTCTCCCTTTTAAAATCCTGTATTTGAATAATGTTAAAATGCCAAATTATTCTGTGTCCTTTAATACAAAGCAGTTACTTTCACAAAAAAGATTCACAAAAACAGCAGAAAACTTGAGGTCTTCATAAACTGAACCTATTCTTTCTCTTGGCCTTAACTGAAACCTCTCGAGATAACACGTGGTTCCCTTAGTAAGAGCTGTGTTATTATAAAATAAAAAAAAGATAGCCAACACTGCAAAAATGAAGGCTGAATTATGCTTTAAAGACAAATCAAGAAGTTGTCAAAGTAGGCAGTGCTTAGCTGGCAGGTTGGCTGAAGGAGTGAATGAAACGGAGGAGAAACAGTGAGACAAGAGAGACAGACAGGGGGCTCAACATCCCAGCGCTTGTTGCCCGGCTGACACTTCTCACACACCAAAGTGCTTCTCCAAGCGCTTTTCGCCCCTCAGTCATTAACCTTCTATTAACTCCTCCATCAATTGCCACTCACTCACACTTTCTCTGATTTCTCTCTTCCTTGCTCATTCACTTGCTAGCGCACACACAAATTTCCAAAGGAAGTTGTTTTGTGTGTGTGTGTCTGTGTGTGTGTGTGTGTTTCCCAACAAACACAAAAAAGAGGAGACTCTGGGGAGAGGCTGGTATATGTGTGTGCCTGTTTGCCCACACAGGCCATGGCCTTGTCCTTTACGGCTCTGCCTTTGGTTGTCTTAAAGAATAGCAGAAACATAATTAGCCAGTTGCTCAGCAGAACTGAGCTCTTTTTAAAGCAGTTTACTTTCTGCAGGGAGTTTTTCTTTTTTTGCCAAGTTGCATTTGCTGTGTGCTTTTGATCACTGGGCGCCCCTCTCCGTTCACATTTCTTTTCATCTGCTCTCCTCTTGCCTCTCACTCCTGCCCCTGTTGTCCCTCCCGTTCTCAGGAATGTGCCGGTGAGCCTCTCTTCATGCTGTACTGTGCCATGAAGCAGCAAATGGAAAAGGGGCCAATAGATGCAATTACAGGAGAAGCCCGTTATTCCCTGAGCGAGGATAAACTCATCAGACAACAAATCGACTACAAGACTTTGGTCAGTCCTCAAACAGACTAGTAAAGCATCCTTTTGAATGTAAAACAGATTCCTTCCGGTAAACTAATTAATGTTTTTTTTCTGTTTTGTGCCTAAACGAAGAATAATTTTCCATGAGTAAATTTTTTTTTAGATAAGTCTATTAGCAGCGAATAGCTATGAGTGTATTGTCTGTTGAGAGCTGTTTCTAAGATGTGTTATGAAGTGTTTGCTTCCAGGTAGAAAATAAATTATATTACATCAAAACAAATGGATTAATAATGGTGTGCACTCTCACCACCGTTTCCTCTTCCAAATGTGACTGACTGCTCTCTGCCGTCTCTTTCTGTAGACGCTGCACTGTGTCAACCCGGAGAACGAGAACGCTCCGGAGGTGACGGTGAAGAGCCTGAACTGTGACACGGTGACGCAGGTGAAGGAGAAGTTGCTAGATGCTGTTTACAAAGGGACGCCATACTCCCAGAGACCAAAAGCATCAGACATGGACCTGGGTAGGTGGTGGGAAAAAGCTGCCACACGCGCACACTCCACACAAACACACAAGGCAAAGTTGAACTGCAGGGGGGGGTGAAGAGGGAATCATCTCAAGAGCTCTCTGAAGCTGGAGGGGGCACTTCAGACCGGAGAGGTGATTCTGCACCAAAAGAAATTCAACTCGAGTGCCAAAATCACAGAAATTACACACCACAGTCATTCGGAATTCTGTCCCTGTCCTGGAGCCTGCTGCCTGCATTTTAAACTCGAAGGAAACTGAATTGATACGCGGAGATTGAAATTTGTGTTTTGCATGGATGGATGGTAACATCTATGCCATCATGTCCCTTTTTTCACACCAAACAAACATGTGTGTGTGTGTGACAGAGTGGCGCCAGGGCAGGATGGCGCGCATCATCCTTCAGGACGAGGACGTCACCACCAAGATCGACAATGACTGGAAAAGGCTCAACACTCTGGCTCATTATCAGGTACCCGGTTCCTCACGAGCTGCATACGAGATGAAACAATACAAATCATTGGGATATTCAGACAAGTGTAGTGCCTTCATTAGAAGACTAAGGTCTGTTAAATAAATTGAATGTGGAGATGATGAAGGTCTCCTGCGAGTGGGAACTGAACTCTGAAACTGTTGCAGGTGACAGATGGCTCGGTGATAGCCCTGGTGCCTAAACAGAACTCAGCCTACAACATCTCCAACTCCTCCACTTTCACCAAGTCCCTCAGCAGATACGGTACGCGAGAAGGTGTGTGCGTGTGTGTGTGTACGTCCGTGGTGTTTGTGCGTTCTTTCACAGTCTGCGGACATCTCTCTAACAAGGGGGGGAAGACGTTTCAGAAGTTTTTCGTCTTTTCATTTTTTCTGTGTTTATTTCTGTTCGGAGGTCATCAGAGCGTTTTAAGCCCTGTACTTTTCCCCCCTAACACAGCACGCTGTTTGTGCCTCCTGATGGCCATCACCACAGTGTGAATGTTTCCAGCCTGAGCTGGCTGTGCTATCAAAGCCACAACCTACTGGTTGGCTCTGCTGGCGTGAACACGTTCATGCAGCATCATCTGACATATCTGGATCAGTTCTGAATAACAGAGCATGGCTACAGTTTCAAACTAATCTGTTTACTTTTATACAGATGGGCAATGTGTATAGAAAGCGAAGAAATCTGCATATTCATTTCCCCCATGCAGCCTGAAGATTCAACATAAGTAAATATTTTCCATTCCCATCCTATCAAAGCAGATACAGTTAGCTATATTTTTGACACTACTACTGGCAAAGGAGGACCCAAAGCTCTTGTGATCTTACTATAGTCTGCACTTAGAGCCTCTTAGTGCTGACATGACAGATATGTGGCACAGGCATCCCTGTCGCACTTCCTGGGTCCACATCTTGGTCCTGACATTTTGATCCTCTCAGTGCTCTCCTGCTTTGTCACACAAGTGACAGGCAGTCAGACCGGAAGCATAATGCTCTGTGGCACAAATATGGGATCACTGTCCAACAGAGGGAAAGAGGACGCAGGTGAGAGTGACAGACAAATTTATTCCTGAGTGAAGGACTGACATGTCTGCCACCTTTCAAAAAGCTTTTAACTTCACGGGAGCATTTGGCTCTTTGTGGCTTTTCACTCAGGCCTTTTTCAGTCGTTCAGCTGGAAGTGGTCCTTCTGAAGGCTATAAGTAATACAAGAAATGTAAACATTATGCAGCACTCATGTCATGAAGATATTGATTACTTTTTGTATATTTGATCATAATATGTTCTGCACCAGAGGCCTTTGAGGGTTTGAATGTAAAGGAAACACAGGCCCTGCTGGAGCTTGAAGTAAAATACAAATTAAACTATGTTCCTCTCCTTTCCTTCTTTATTTTCTTTTCCTTACTTAATTCTTCTGCGTATCTGTGCAGAGAGCATGCTGAGAACGGCCAGCAGTCCAGACAGCTTGCGCTCCAGAACACCCATGATCACCCCCGACCTGGAGAGCGGCACAAAGCTGTGGCATCTGGTGAAGAACCACGACCACTCGGACCAGAGAGAGGGGGATAGGGGAAGCAAGATGGTCTCTGAGATCTACCTGACCAGACTGCTGGCCACCAAGGTAACCAGAAGCTCACACACATTCTCAACAGCAGCCTCCACCCAATCATTGTCATGTACCCCATTTAAAGCCGCAGTCTCTGTTGACCTTTGTTTGGTGGTGGTTTCAAGGCTCATTAACATTTTTCATAACCTTTTCCACAAAGACACACATATGCAGAGTCTTAATTAGGAAGCTGACCTTTGACTATTGAGTTGTTTGGTTGGTGTTACTGGCCTTCTGTTGGTGGCCTCTGGGCTTTCCTACTCAGGCTTGTGCTCTACGGTCATTACTGGCCGTGTTTGCTCAGTCCTCCGGACCACACTGAGAGCCCTGCTCAGATGTCTGTGCAGCCTTTACAGAAGGATCAGAAAAGAGCGCTGACAAGAAGAGCTTAGTTTAAAGGTGAAGAATAAGTATTTTGAAACTGTTTAGTAATATGGCACAGATTATGCTGGAACATATAGTTCTGCTTATGATTTTATAATTTTCTAATCACACACTCCTTTTGATTTTTTTCTATGAGCAAATGACAGAGATCACAGCAAAAACAGAGATCACAGCATTGTTTAGCTTTTCCTGTAATCAGTATAGCTTTTTTTAGCCTTGCATCAGTGGACATTTAGATAGTGGAAGGCAGGCAAATAAAGGAAAACCAACAAAATAATTCTAAGAATCTTAAAAGACACAGCTCTTATGATGTCATGCTGGTCCTAATTGAGATATATTTTAGTGAAGTTACCAGTCACTCATTTCTCGTACATGTCAGAGACTCGCATGTGGGTTGGTATCAAAGGTTAGATTTAATGAGCTGATTGTCTGCTGTAATTCCTAAAACATGAGGGAGAGAGGAGATGGCTATAATATGTGAATCCACCAAAGGTTTGCAGTTTCTTCTTCCATCATTCTGCCTTAATCTCATAGATCACAGATACACACAAATCCTTTTTGCTTTATGCTGATTTACAAGTGAATAGAAGCATGTGACCATGCAGTCATACAGAATGTGCACACTTGGTGTACAATCCAGCGAGAGTGCCAGCTGCTCTCCAGCAGTGAGCCCACACCCCGATACTTCCTCTCCCCCGATGCTTTCACTCATTAGCTCTACGTTTTCATTGTTTGAGCTCCAGGTAGGAAAGTGCAAGGTTAGCTGCATCACCGCCGCCTCGATTGGGAAATGATTAACATGCAAGCCAGAGGAAGACAATGGGGGGGGGGGGACTTGGAGCTCTGCGGTTTGCTCCTACTTATTACATCCCCCACAGCTTTGTGTGTTTAGGATGCTGATTTGTTAATGTGCGAGTGAGAGCAAAACTGCAGATTCAACTTCTGGCTGCTTTAAATAAAGTTTTCTGAGCGGGCGGCCTGGATGCTTGAAGGTACAAAAGGAGCGCTCGTTGGAAAATTTCAAATAATTTCGACTTCAGAAGGCCTCTGTGAGGATTCTGAATTACTGGAGTTGTGTGATGTGGTGAAAAACAATGCAGCGCAGCCCTCAGGCTGAGCATCCATCCAGCTCAACCTACATACTGTAAGGAACACAGAGGGGCTCAGCATCATCGCAAAACTCTCAGGAAGTTGAAGCCCTGGAACAGAAGAGCAGTTATTCTCAAACACCTGCTGACAGCCGTCACCGCCAGCCAGACCACGAAAAGCAAAGAGGAATGTGTGAGCGGAGTGCGTTAGACTCCGCCGGCCTGTTCAGGAGCAGACAGTGTGCACCATTTCTGTTTAATCCGTCTTTCTAAGCGCATCGTTCTCAACACTGTTTAAGTGCAGTTGCTCAACAAACGGCCTCTGTGGGCTGTTTCTCTATTCAGGGCACGCTCCAGAAGTTTGTGGACGACCTGTTTGAGACCATCTTCAGCACAGCGCACCGAGGCAGCGCCCTGCCGCTCGCCATCAAGTACATGTTCGACTTCTTAGACGAGCAGGCGGACAAACACTCCATATCAGACTCCGACGTGCGGCACACTTGGAAGAGCAACTGGTGAGTCTTGTGTCTGTGGCCCGCGGTGAGGGGGAGCTCAGTGGGATTTTGGCTTTGCTTTGTGGGAAAAATGATGGCCGTGCAGCAAAATGTACAGCAGTCTTATTTTCATCGCTATTCCAAGTATTTTATCTCCCCGACTGCTTCACAATGTGTCTGCAGCTTCCTTCTCTGCAGTCATCTGCTCCTGAAACGCTTGTCAAGTCCTTCTAACTCTGTAGGCCCTCTGTTTTTCTTTTTTTTTCCTGCAGTCTTCCACTGAGGTTCTGGGTGAATGTGATCAAGAACCCGCAGTTTGTCTTTGACATCCACAAGAACAGCATTACAGATGCCTGCCTGTCCGTGGTGGCTCAGACCTTCATGGACTCGTGTTCCACATCGGAGCACAAACTGGGGAAAGACTCGCCCTCTAACAAGCTGCTGTACGCTAAAGACATCCCCAACTACAAGAACTGGGTGGAGAGGTAGGACAGTGAGCGGATGCAGTGGGACGTTTGATTGACGCTGATATTTTTTAACGAAGCTCTGAAGCATTCCGGGGGGCTGTAACTCCGTTCTGCGTGTGTGTACACACAGGTACTACTCGGACATCTCCAGGATGCAGGCCATCAGCGACCAGGACATGAGCGCCTACCTCGCGGAGCAGTCGCGTTTGCACGCCAACCAGTTCAACAGCATGTCAGCCCTGCACGAGATCTACTCCTACATCGTGAAGTACAAGGATGAGGTGGGTTTTTTCGCTTCTTTTTCTTTTCCGTTTGATGAAACCAGCATGGAGCTGTGGTCAGATTTTTGTATTTTTCTTCCCCACACTTTAACTCTTCACAGGATTTTAAAGTTTCAGAGTTACTTTTGCCTAAAAATGCGTGGAGCGTAAGATTCCTGATTTTATTTTTTGTGGAGAAGGCAGATTTCTGAGCCCCTCAGAGTTATGAAAAAGTAAAGTCATCATGTTTTTGTTTTTTTTGGGTGAAAAGTCCCCCTGTGGAGAGGAAGCACCACCACAGATGGAACATCTCCCATATTTAACTGCTGAGCTGACCACAGAAATTAGACTTCCCATGACACTTTTTGGTGACATTCATGCTGATAAGGAAAATCTGAACTTGAGTTCCAGCAGCTGTTGCGAGGTGTAGTTTAACCGGTGGTGTTTTTCTCTTCCGGACCCCGCAGAGCAGGTGTCTTTTAGTGTCTTTAAAAAATAGTTTTTTTTGTCAGTAATGCATTCAAGATTGCATAGCCACAATTCCCTTTTTATTTCTCAAGTCTCTGTATATCCAGAGTGGCAAATGACTATCAGGAATGATTTTGAACAGCCACCTTATAGGTTAGCTTTTTAGAATCGGTGTAATATTGTACATATGGAGCACATTGACTTTGACTCTCGATCCAACGAGGTGGGGTTTTCCTCCAACAATACAGCCTTATTTAGGAAGGAGGAGTCCATGTTTTGAAAGCAAAAGCTAACGCGCTCGTAACATTGGCTGACCTCTTCGTCATTCTATTTCCAGATCTTGTCAGCTTTGGAGCGGGATGAGCAGGCAAGGAGACAGAGACTGAGGAGCAAGCTGGAGCAGGTCATTGACACAATGGCCCTGACCAGCTGAGGACCATCCACCTCCTCCTTCTTCACACTTCTCCTCTCCATCTGTCTCTCTCTGCCTCGCTCTTCTCACCCAGACCACAAACAGAACTCCAGCCCCCGACAACATGAACTGCAAAAGGACCGAAGCAGTGTACCGAAAAAATGTGGGGGGTTCGGCAGAGATTGGGCGTTCCCGTGTACGCTTACATGTGTATGTTTGTGTTTGTCTGCAGCCCCATGCAGTGTGTGTGGGCACGTGTGTGTGTGAGAGCCTGAGACTCCAGACGTTTTCCGCACACGAATACACAGAAAACAAGTCAGCTGACAGCATTTGATTATCGTGGATGTTGGTGTTGTGGTTTGCTCCATTTTGAGTTCAGGAGTTTTGTCATGATGACTCTGAAAGAAACGGTGGAAGCTCGGAAAAGACCTCCATTCGTGGCATCGTTAACAGAATGGACCAGTCTGCCAAAAGCCAATGGAGAGAGGCTCTGTTGGTCGTGACTTCAAAAGCTGTCACGGTTTTAACAAATGTGGTTTCTTTTTCTTTTTTGTATAAATGTAATCAACTGCCCACTCTCTGATCTCTCGCCACTTGTATTACTGCTGAATTTGCACAATTTACAGAAACGTTACAAAGCAAGACTATATAGATATTATATATAAATACTGCTACGTTTTTAAAGAAAGATTAGGGAGAAACCTGTTTTGTTTTTTTCTATTTCATCTAAACCGACAAATACAGTGGGAAAAAAGTAGAGCATTAAAACATGATTTGATATTACAAGTACAAAAAAAAAAGAATCTCATCGTAGGCAGAAAATGAACGAAAAAGAAACAAAAAAATCGTACTGTGCCATGTTTTCTTTGAATGTTGTTTAGTGCAAAGACATTTTGTTGGATGGAATGTGCTACAGTCGGATTTTAGATATGCCTAGTGACTGAAAATAATAGGTTGAGTAATGCCGCAGCGTGAGATCCTCAGTGGTCGTGGCGGTAGGCGAGTCGGTGTGCGGTGTCAGGGCGACGACATGAAGATGCTGTTGTTTCGTAGTCAATCAGTGCAATCTGTTGGTTCCATGAAGCCAAATACCACAGGATGTTGCTTTATTATAGCCACATTTGTTTCTGGCCCCACAACTGCTGCGTTTCTTCAAAGAAACAGCCGACTGGATCATGGTTTAGTGACTGAGTAATGAAGTAGCTACATTGCACTACCTAAAAAAAATACCTTCTGCCCCAATGCTTCAGAGCTACCGCAGGTAACAACTGGTTTCCCCATGCATTTCGGTTAGGCATCCCTTTTAGGACCATCTGTTTTCCAAAAACAGTCCTGCAAGAGGGAAGCCAAAATCCTTGCTGCTTGCAGACTTTTTATTTTCTTGAGCTACAATGAGGTCATGCAGCGCTTAGCTGAGCCCATTAGAAGTGAAGCTAAGTCAGATTATCTGTTTTCAGCCCAAGGCCACAATTATTTAGCATTTTTTCAATGTTAATACCCAAATAAAGTGGCATGGAAAAGATATAGTGAGTGTGTTTCTCCACCTCTAACCTTTATATAGTGGAGATGTGGGTTTCAGCTTTTCATCCACATAGAGGGTATAAAAGATAAAGAGGTGAGACACCTCTGTTCATTAGCTCCACCAGGCTGAGTAATCCTCCAAGAGCCCTTGGCTCTTGTTTTAAAACTAGCCTATTGCCATGTGTGGCTTAAGCTTTTTATATTACCGCTCTCTTAAGAGGATTTCTTTGTTTCTCTTTTTTGAAGTCTTGACGTCATGGTTTCATGGTTTTAGACATTGTGGTGATGAATAAGACTTTTTTTTCTGCTTGCCGAAAAACCAAACTGTGGTCTGTATAATGTTTTTGTTGATTGTTTCATTTGTAAATTGTATACTTTTTCATGAACAAAAAGCTGTTTTGCCATTTTTTTTGTAATCTTGATTTATTTTTTCTGTTTTTTCGTTGTTTTTTTTCCGTAGGAATTTTATTTTCGACATGTAAATTGTACATTTTACGGTACACAGAAGACAAAATTCTCTTCGGCTTGCCTGAAGTTGAAGTACTTGACCGAACTCAAGTGTGTGATTTCCTGATCTGAAGGGTCAGAATGAAATAGTTGAATCAGATGAGCATCTGTGTCGTTGTGATGGAAATGTGACTTGCTGCTTTAACTCTTGTATCTTGTTTTTCTATCAAACATTAGGGCTGTCATTCAGTGCTGATCATAAATGCTGTCACTGTCCAAGCCACTTCTTTGTTTACTGTACATGTCTGAGGAGTGACATGACTTTTACTGCATACATGCATATGAATCTCTGTTTTCTTCAGCTGGATCCTTTTTCTGGGACTTCATATTTCACCATGCACCTGCCAAACATGCAGTCTTAAGGGACCACTCTGCCCATGCAATAATAAAATATCTATTTCCAGCTCATTATGTGGAAGACACACATTACATCATATGTGTTAGATTAAATAATGAATACTGAAAAACCTCTGCCCATATATAATTTGTCTAGTCTGCCTTTTTCTTTTTTGCTGTTCTGTTCCCTTTGACTTCTTGCTGCATTCATGCACGTTTGTGCTCCTGCAGTTTAGATCACACGGTGAGCTGATGGATTCCTGGTCAGGCTCTCGGTTGTGCTAACCACAGCCTGTTTGGCGATCTGTGTGAGTGCAGTAAGCAGTGAGGGGAAGGCCTCCCGCTCCCACACTTTGCTTTGTTCAGCCGGTGATCTGTTCGGCTTTTTAGAGACACATCGACATTCTCAATCCATTCTCAGGTTTGCGCTCCATTTCTGTTGTGTTCTGCTCGACTGCCGAGAGGGTCGGGCTTGTTTTATCATCTGCATGATTACGTGCATTTTACGTTGACCTGCTTTGCAATTCCAAACATTTTCTTCCAGAGAAACCTTCCCCAGTTTCCATTTTTGCATATTGCATTGTTAAAGTATGACACTTGCCTTGTATTTATTGTTCCAAAGGTGGTAGAGTGGTGATTGTCTGAAAGCATTTAGTGTCCTCTGAAGAAGCCGGCCTTCACTGCTGACTTCCAACTCGTAACAGAACACGCTGACTGTAGTTTGTTCGTGTAGCCAGGTTTTATGCTGTTATCCAGTCGCATCAAAGCAAATGAACAAATCAGATGGACTGCACTGTCATCGGTGTGAGTGGAGTCAGCACAGTCATTTTTATTTCTGACCTTCTCAGTCCTTTTTGCTCCTCGGAGTCACTGTTGAGTCAAAGGAAGGCCCGGGATCCCTCTGCTTCCAGTCGTTTTTTTTCTCCTTCCTTCTCAGTTGAAAAAAAATCAAACTGTTTCTCTTTTTCGTTTTTAGAGTGAAAGTTAACATAGGATCCACGGAAACAAAGCGACTCATTTCAGATGGCAAGAGAATTTTAATACTACAATAACTGATACATTTTTAGAGTTTCAGACTTGAAGCGACTGTCACAAGTTTGCAGGTCAACATACATTGTGTAAATATTCTGTTATTTCCTATTTTGCAGATTTACTACTTGTAAATAAACACGCATCAAGGAGAGATTAAACATTTTTTGCTAAATAACTGCCTTGGATTTATTTTTTTGTTACATGTATCATGTCACAAAGCACTGCTACTAAAAATACCTGTAAAAAAACACTTTCTGCCCACCAATTTGTAACGTTCAACACTTCTAATGACCAACTCCCCATTTTACTACATTTCTTTCGCCAACATTTCTCTTTTCTCCCCATTTACATTGAAGAACGTCCAATATCTTGGTTTCTCATGTATGTAGTCATGCTGTCTATGAGCAAAGTACATTTCAAGGCTACAGAGTAGTTGTAAATAACACTTAAAAAGTATTTTGAGGAGGGTGACATTATTGTAGCAAAATGTTTTAAAACTTAACAGTTGAGCTCTGAGCTGCATTGTTCTTATATTTGATTGGTTTACTCTTTGAATCTTTGAAAAAAAATGTTTCCATCTACCTCTTCGCATGACTTGTGACGGTATTTTCTGTGATTTAATATTTATTTGAAAATTCTAATCCACTGGTTGCTGAATATAAAGGACTGACGGCGTACGACATCTTCTGTTGTATAGAAATGTCCCAGAAGATACTTGGCCAATTCATTAGTGCTAGATACTTAATGGACTTCATCACTCACTATCAAAGAGCTCCATTTCAACATGTTGAAAAGAAATTCTGTTGTTGGGCTCGGGGATGATGGCCTTCCTCACGTTAATAACATGATCAGCATCATTAATCATTTGTATGGAAATGTGGTTGAGTGGGGGATGGGGGGGGTGTTCTGAGGCAGTGCTAACACTAACACATTTCCCTTCTAACCATTCACCGTGCTTGCACTGCCCTCAGCTTACATGGGCACTTGCATGGAAGAGTGGCTCTGTGTGTAGAACACACAGATCATCAGACAGCCCGGGCTGCTGATCTTAACGCCACGAATTGTTATGAACAAGAGGGTACGGATGGAGCTGCAAGACCAGGAAGAAATCGCTGAATTCCCCAACCTAGTTCTTTTTTTTTGTTGTTTTTGTTTTTTTTCTCTCTTTTTTTTATTGCCTGCCTTGAACTGTCAGCACTTCCCTTTCTCATCCCTATGGGTTCAATGAGGCCAGATAGACAGAAAATGTTATCGTTCACACCATGTGTAACCAGCCCGGCTAATTCAATTAAAATTCCATCCAAGTAAGAATGCTGAAATTGCGTAATGGTCATGGGAGCACTGAATCTCGTAATGATCCTGTCATGAGGAAAATGATCTTGCTGCTCAAACATTATGATGAATTCCTTGCAAAGCGCAAGATTTTCATTCCTTTACCCCTTCCACCCCACCTCTTCTTGCAAGCAAAATCCTGTTGCAATAGTTAATACAGCTATGATCTATATTTGCATTGTCCTCTGTTTAATCTCATTTAGTTACAACTGAGGAAGGCTCTGGGTTTTATCACAGGATAAAATTAAAATTCCATTTTCGCTGTCTTTCAGTTACTTGTCAGTGCGTGTTGT